CTACTCAATTAGATGATACTCATATACCTATGCTACGCATCCGTCTAATAAACCTATGTCGGACACGATTAAGCAGGGGAAGCAAAATGACAATGACAGACCCTTTTTGGATGAGTGACGAAAAGGGAACCGCGGTGACGAACAGGGAAGCGTGGTTTAAAAGTACTAGAGAGAAAGGTGAAAAATTATCTGTAAAAATGAGTAACTGGCCCTGTCTGAGCTCCTGTAAACCCCCCCTTCTCTTTTAAAACAATTCTTAAACAGTATGAACACCAACAACGACAACAGCATTCCCATGTCTACGACCACGGTCACTTCTCCCCCCGAAACCACCCTTTCCTCAAACCGAAACGCTACCGCTGCCTCCCCTGTCGTAACTGCCGACCAAAAAAAGACGAAAGGTGCTTGGTGGCGCAATGACGAAGATCAGCTCTTGGTCCAAGCCTACCTTCTCGTCAACAAGAATGAAAAAGTTGGCATCAACCAAGATTCCAAACCGTTTTGGCAACGCGTTTTTGAAGAGTTTGAAAAAGGCGGCAATGACAAGAACCGCACCCTCGAAGGTCGTTGGGAAATCATCAGCGCGCAAATCGCGAGATATGCAGCGACCGTGGCCTTTATTGAGAGAGGGCCACGAAAAAGTGGCGAGGCCAATGATGACAAGGTAGTCTTTTGCACATTAATATCCATATAACAGATTCGAGAAGTTCCTTTCTTTCTGATAAAGTTCATGTAATAGAAACAGCGCATCATCGAAAGGTACAACAGCAAAGCTGAAGCACGGTATAAGCCATACAAGATGCTCATTGCTCGCCTCTGCTGAAGGTTGAGCAGAAAATAAGTTCATCAGCGACAAGGCCAACGAGGTCAGCATGGATGGCGAGAAGGATGTGCAACAAGAAAGCCAAGGCTTTGAAGAGACGACACGCCGAAGATAACGATCTCGAGAGCCTGGCTGGTGAACAGTTGAAGCTCGCCCGTCTAGAGGTCGTCGAGGAAGAAAAGAGAAGGAGACTTTTGGAAAAAATGCTGGAGGAGGCGCAAAAGGCGAATGAAGAGGCGCGACTGGCAAGAGAAGAAGCAATCATGAGCAAGGATTTGGACTCTCTTAGTCCTGCTCAAAGATGGTACTACGAGAAGAAGCAATAGGAGATCGTTGATCGAATGAAAAAAGAAGAGATGGAGAAGAATGTGGTGCAGGAAGGAGAGCTCGGAGACGGTTTGGAGGAAGAGAGATCGTTAACGAGGTCGTCGAAAGAATTTGGTGCATGGATACCCTCCGATTCTTCATGTGGTATCAAATTAAAACCATCAACGCCACATGTCTCCTCGCGAGTAATCAAAATCGCGGCATCAAGCTTATCAGACAGTAGCCTTTCAGCTTCTTCTGCAGTCTCTCTATTCTTCTTCTCCTCTTCTGTCTCTACATTGAGCAATCCTGTGTGACGCCAGCAATATTTGAATGTTTCATGTGAGACTAACTCTCAAGCATCTCTGACCCCTTGCATGGCAGTAAGCTGATGTACATCATAGAGCTCGCCGAGTTGGTTCTTCCGATATTTTGATTCGCTTCACGGTATTACATGGCCCTGCAGTATCTTTGCAGCATTGGCTCCGTCCATTATTAAGGCCAGATGATTAACGTTTGTTGTTGGGTTCAATTTTATTGTCTTTGAACTTACGGATATTGTTTTTTAAGACTGGCGACGTTACTGTCTTTGTTTGATTTATCAAACTTGTTTGTCTCTGCTGGGGTCAGTCCTAAAATAGATAATGCGAACGTTAATCCCCATTTGTAGCGGAATAGGGATAGCAACTGGAGCACATTATCGAACAATTGTTTGATCTAGTTGACTGAAAGCATACAGTGGAAGGCTGTCATTCCTGCGCAAATTTGGAAAATACGACGGATTTAAATTTCATCAGTGGTCGGGTAGTATGATACCTGTGTATGATCCACATCCGCATGCCATCAGCATCCGCATAACCGGATCGGGTGCGCATGGCCCTTATATCCGATCCGATGCGATCCGTGAAGAACGCTATCATAGTGAAATTTTGAGGGAAATAACAGCAATCATTAATGACGAAACAAAGGATAAGTATTATCAGCCTTGTTGGATACAACAGATAGTCTGTCACGCTAGTTAAGAATAATCTTCTTTTCTAGCGGTTGTGTCCAGTGTAATGAGAAGATAAAAGTCTTTTCGTTTGTGTGAAGGCGGAAGGATGGGTAATAGCCCTTGTTGCATTTAGGACTAGTATCGAAAAAGCGGGTATACTAGCGAATGACTTTAGAAATTTGGACTCATAATTTAATGCTTTTTGAAGTCTACAATTGCCCTGAAAACCCATCAGAGACTCTCGAGGGATTCAAAAAGTATCAGATTACAATGTTAGCAATTTTTCGCCCTCGCAACATGTAGTTTCGTGAGCTTTTGCACAAATGAAACATGTGCGTGCGACACCACTATTCCCCGTCTCTCATAATCTTTTTCTTCACAGGATGCTTGCGTCCGAGTGCTGGTTCATCAGATGGCCTTCCTGGGCTTTACTAGGGAGATCTCCCTCTCACGGGTGGACAGTGCGTTGAAGCTCTTACTTTTTTGTCCTTTTAAAGAATGCGTTCATCCGATGGCCTTCCCGGGCTTTACTAGGGAGATGTCCCTCTCATGGGTGATGCTTCGCTCGGTTTTTCTTGTTGCGGTCACTTGATAGCCTTCCTGGGCTTTACTAGGGATATGTCCCTCTCGACATGGGTGGCGCTTCGCTCTTTTATATTATTCATACTTTATTTCTCCATATAAATGATGTACTGTTGACTGCCATAGAGATCAAACCGCTTATCATCTACTTGTTCCACACAGAACTCCCAATTTGATTTGTTCAGAGGCAGGAAACGATCTGTTTAAATTTGTAATCCTTGTTGTAGCTGGCTACATAGTATCTTATTAATCCAGTAGATAACCGCTCTTATAGTGATCAATAGTAATACTATGTTCTATCATGAGCCACGTACAGATTAGTTTACTAATGTTAAGGTATGATTGAATATTCCGTGTCTGGATGGATAACACAGAATATAGATAAGCACTCGGTACGGATGTGGGAAATTAAGTATGCGATCACGCAAAGCAAGGAGTAATTGTATAAGATGTGTTGCTATGTCAGATAGTACAAGCAATGATGTCGGATACAGAGTTTTGGTTTCTGGCCGGCACAAAGCTGTGGTTGAATCCATGTTTGGAGTGCTATGGAAAAGTGTATTGTGCAGCGACGAAACGATACCGAGAATACGTAACAATTGATGAAGTTAATCCTCATAGAAAAGGTATATCTACGATATATTACGACAGATGGAGTGCTATACATTTTTCATGTCACTGAACGATTGTGTAGGACTCGGGAATGGATGACTGTTCCTCTTAGTTTGCAAGACAAGGTGCTGACCGATGTGATTCAGCAAACTGCTAAAACATTGCTATGCAAACTATTATGACCGGATTCGTCACTACCAACGACATTTTAGCATGTATTCTATACTCTAAATAAAAATCTTTCGACGCTTACATACATCTTTTCATTGTTGATGACTTTGTTTTGGATTATATTCCTGACATCTACACTAGTTAAGCAAAGCATTATACTTAATGTGTAAAAACTATATTGATCTCTAAAATTTATATTGGTAGAGCCTGAAAAATCGATACTTTGAACGCAAAACACTGTACTGGTGAGAAATCCCATAGCCTTTTCCCTGTTTTCCTTTACAGGGTTTTACTTCGTTATACTCCCTCTATCTGTCTCGAGCTGCCCCCCCCAAGACGCAGTGTTCATCAGAGATGTAAAATAATAAAAAACCCAAACTTTTAAACGTACTGGTGACAAAAACTAGAAGTTTAGCCCAAACGCACCAAATGATGAAATGTTTTAGTATAATAAAGGAAAGAGAAGAGGAAGGGACATTTCGTATATGAAAAAATCACAATGGGTATGTGCAGTTTTCGAGCTCTTAATAATGCACAACATAACAATATATGATATACTAAAACGGACAACGTTGAGTATAATAGACATGTATTAAGAGGCTTACGCGAAGTTGTAACAGGGATACACAAACCAGGTGGAAGTTCTGCTCTTCGGCCAAAGCAAAATTTAAATTGAATTCTAGTTATATTTGAGTTTCCTAGAAACGAAATTACCTCCTAAAAAGCTCGCTTGCATCTAGTTCGCAATTGCCTCCTAACCACCAGCCTGTTGCTATGGTTAAGCTCGATGACAGACAGCTACGGTTAGTTTCTCTTGTAGGCAACTGCGTATCTAATACAGCGTCAATTTTTACGCGCCTAGATACGTTATTAACATATAGAGGCGTGACCCGACGATCCTATTTAGCCATTGTCCCGGTACAACGCGATCTAGCGACGGGTAAACAGATTCATCTCCAAGAGATCATTGACCAGTTGGAAGATATTATTATGGACACATACTCCGAATCGAAGCCGCAATATCAATGTGACTGGACGAACAACGTGTTACTTTGCGCAAAATCATTGAATATAACCTTGGTGGGTAAGAAAAAAGGTAAAGAAACTAGTAGGTTAGATTCTCTAACAACATCTTCGTGACAATTCTTATGAAGTCCTCGAAAAAACCCAGTTGGAAAACGATACAAACACGTATCCATCGCAAGGTGGTGTTTAAAACATCCAAAACTTCAGCCAGCACAACAACCAGTTCCAAAAAAACCGCGTCGTCCCCGCAGCATCACATAATCCTCTTGTTGGATATCATAGCGACAAAAAGAAGATTGAAAATATGCTGGCTGATTGGAATGAAAGAGAATACTGGGTTTTGGAGGCCACAAAAGCTAGGGCGAAAGAAACGGGTGAAAAGCCAAAATCTGTAGAAGAAAAAATCCATGGTTTTGCTGTCAAGTGCCACTTCTACCAGTAAGTATATATCGCTAAGACACGTAGAAGGAATGGCCTACATAATTACGTCTAATATATCACGTATGTAGCCTCTACCAATCGCTAATTATCGATCTAGCGGATAAACATTGGGGAGACGTTTTCAGCAAAGAAGAACTTGACGAGATGCGATCATTTGGTGATCCTATTCTTCCGGAAATTCCACAAGAATTGGCACCAAAAATAAGCGAACCCCGGAAGATGGTAATATAATGTCGTTGGAGGCTGGAAACATTTTTATTTCTTGTTAATACAGTACCAACTTTGTATATGTATAGACAAGTGCAGTCGACGCATACAATCTTGCAAGAAAACTCGACTACAATATAGTTACTGAACCGTTGCTAGCATGGTTGGCGCTGAGTGTGATGGACACAGCAAAGTATTTCATTGATTCAACATCAGAACCGACAAGCTCGCTTTTAAAAAGTGATAAGCTATACTACTTGTGGGCTTTGTCAACACGGTTTTCGACCGCACTGAAGTAATGGCACTCGGGTAAGTTGTTGTACCGATATTAGGCAATACATAACAGCACTTATTCCAACATCTTAGTTTTCAAAAAGCTAAGAGATGTCTAGCGAGGCCAACGCAGCGGCTAGAAACACCAAGCGAAAACTATCGGCAATTGAGCCCATAGCGAACAAAAAGATGGGCAGTCGTACAGACACCATATACAAGATCAGCAATATCGAGCTCGGCTGCTTGGAAATCGGAGGACAGGTTGATGAAACGAAAGATTTCAAGGATAGCATGATCAAGATGCCTTCAGTTCTTAAAACATGATCATTGCGGTAGCTGAACGAAAACGAGCGATTTTGCCCAAGACTCACGTCCTCGGCCACAATATCAACGGTAAGTTTATATAGTTAATGAATGATAAGAAGACGTTACGGCATTTACTGAATCAACTAGTAAAAAACGAAGGTGAGGCAAGCCTGAGTCTGATGAACACTAAGTAGTAATAGTAACATATAACGTTTCAACCATCATCACAAAATGCCGCATCATTACAGTATACCTCCTGAGATGCGTACATCATTTTATATCCTCTACATTGACGACTTATTCTGTAAATCGACAATCATTTATGTATACGTAAAAAAATTGGCTTTATTATATTTTATGGTAAAACCTGTTACTCTGACAAGTACCTACAGAAGATGGAGTAACCACCGTGGGTTGGGAGAGGGTATGTAGGCTTTTAATATATTTCAGTTTGACTTGGGATATACGCCGTGCATCAGATGTATAATAATTTGATTGAAGAATATTACTGTACGAACATCTCGACAAGAGGCTTGAACATTTAAAATTGTAGATGGTAAAACTGTTTTTCAATATCTTCAGCGAATAAATGTGAAAAGGCAATGATACACTACTATCTCAAAAATTATAGATTAATAGGCTGTTTATCATCGACGGCGTTCATTGCATATGAATGGGCTATTGCTGAAAATGGATACATTGTTCTGGCCAATACTAATGGGTATTACCGATCGACGAAGTCCTGCATGCTTACTCCTGTTATTCCATTTGAGTTTTGGAATCTTTCAGAAGATATGAAGTTACGTGCCCGGATGGACAAGAAGTATTGGTGGATCAAAGGTTTATCGATCCAAACAACTATCCTCAGTCAGCTAAGAAGAATCTTGCAGCCAAGTACGCAGGACCCTACAAAATTATTGAAAGGATTGGCAAGGTCGCATATCGTCTTGAACTACCATAAAACATCAAGGCCCATAATGTTTTCCATGTGCATACACTCAAGCCCTATATACAGCCATTTACGGATAGGCAACCACTAAGACCGCCGCCATTATTGGTCGAAGATCAAGAAGAATATGAAATCGAATTCATTATTGATAAACGAACTCGCGGCAGAAGAGTAGAGTACCTTATCGAGTGGAAAGGCTATCCTGTTCATGAAGCAACATGGAAACCAACAGCAAATTTGGGCAATTACCAAGATTTTATTACAACTTATGGGCAAGCTCAAAGAAAATTTACTACCAAAGCACCATTGGCCTCCTCGCGCAAGACCGGAGACCGCCCATCAGGCAAGGCAGGCAAGACCAGAGACACCAGGCCACCACGAACTCGGAGGCCACCCCCCTCATTATGAGGAGGGGTCTCCACCACCACAGAACCCTCAGGGTTGTTTTGGAGGGGGTGGGGACCAGAACCAGAACCAGAACCAACAAGACCACCAACGGAAGGACCAGAAGAAGAGGACGTATCAGTATTGATGACAGGTGCCTCCAAGGAAGTAACAGCAACAAGTAGTGATGGAGGTGTCTCACCTCGAGAAGCATTACGCTCCTCAAGGCCAGGAGAACAGATGGTTGCCACACCAGGCAGCTCGTCAATGGCGAGTTGGTAGTCTGATTCATCAAACTCCAACTCATAACGATCAGCACTGGCTGCAGACTCACTATCCAACAAAGGACGTCGTTGCCCACCTTGGTCCCAGACTCGGGCAGAACGACGCAAACCACCAAGAGCAACAACCGAGCCACCACCAGCAACCGAGCCGCCACCAGACGAGCCACCAGAAGAACCACCAGCAGATAAGCCACCAATGGTGTGACCTAGGGGCATAACCGTAGGTCTTACCACCCTACCAGACTGCAAGTCTGCAAGGGAGCATACACCAGACAAGGGAACACCAGACCTTCTTGACTCTAGGACCAAGTCAAAGTACCACTGGGGCACCTGGACAGGGTCCACAACAACAGTTCTCCTAAGCAGCTGGATATGGGCATGAGGTGTTGACCTCGTAGCATGGTACTTAACCGTAGCAAAACCTCCTTGGTTGGTAACTCGGCATTGATCGCACCAATGAGTTGCGTGGGAACGCTGGCCACCAGAAGAGGAGCAAAGTTGAAGCACAAACGCTCCAAACAGAAACAGCGTTGGCATACGTTGGTAGGGCGTTCAGTTCCGTAGAAAACCTCAGGCGTCAAGGCACCCTGGACACAAGTCAGTTGGCTAAGGCACTGTTCCCCAAAGGCAAGGTCGGACAATATACCAACATAAGGACAAATTATTGTTGTTGTTGTAAGGCATGGTAGCAAGGGACAAGTAAGGCAAAATAATATGTATGAACTAAATGTGGAAAAGATGGCAAGGATTACCCTGCTAATTCATTATTAAAAAGCAAATATCTCGCAACTGAGTTAAGTGATAATACGTCGACGCCGTTTGACGCCATAATCGGATGTGTTCGTGTTCATCCGAATGCCCATGTATTCACCTAATCACTCTCCACGGAGTGCACGGACGGCATGGGCTTACATTTTGGCCAATCAGAAGGCTGTATAAGAATCCTTAAAGCAGCCAATGACAGCTCTGAATAAGCGTTTACGTGTAACACTTCAAAATACTGGTGCATGACATTGCTGTAATTTTAACTTGATCGAGTAATATGCCATAGTAGTGTCTCTAGTTGAAAGAACCAAAATGCATCATATCAACGACAATAATTGCAGGGGTTACAAAGGGTCATAGGTGCAAGGACATTACTTTCATGCAATGCCATTTGTTTATACAAGGTCCTTCATTTAAATTGCGTGATGAATTTGGGCATAACTGATACACGATTTATCACTTACGTTTTGTTTGATCACTGATAGAATGTTTGGATGGTAGACTAAGTAGTAGTATGCTCTGTCAAAAGAAGCAGTGTTAAAGATAAAAGGATCCCTTTGTGTGCGATGAAAAGTAGTCCATTCTCTATTTACCAGTGGTCATTGATGAAACAAGCTGCTTGTAAGGTGCGGACAGGAACAAGACAAGACAAGAACAGAAAGACCGGACGAGAATGTGCTAGGCGCTTTCAGCAAGAACAAGATAAGAATGAGACCCGAAGGTAGGAGACCAGATGATGAGAGAAGAGACGAGGAACAAGATACAGGAAGGAAACAAGATATCTGACTGATGTTTCATTATTCAAAGACTATGGTCTTTATATATCTTTTACTATGGAATTTAATAATGCGAATAAACGGAAAGATTGATATTAGGGTTGATAATTCAGACGATGATGATGGATGATATTTTTACTTGGGGATCTAATAAGTGATCATCGAGGTTGAGGGTGAACACTTAGTAGAGGTCGAGGAATGTTCATAACACTGCTGACGACACTAGTAAAACCATG